AAATTTTGGCTCACATATGGCATTTTTTTACATTTTCCAGATTCCTCATTTACACAGTCCTTTTTGTTGTCTCTCTCTCCTGTTTTCTTCCAGCAAAATAATGATAAAATAATGTTCTGTGAGCCCTCAGGTCCCAATATCATAGAGTATGTCTACACTACCACCCTAGTTCGAACTAGGGTGGTTAATGTAGGCAACCGAAGTTGCAATTGAAGCCCGGGATGTGAATTTCCCGGGCTTCATTTGCATCTTGCTGGGCGGCGCCATTTTTAAAGCCCCGCTAGTTCGGACTCCGTGCCCGCGGCTACACGCGGCACTGACTAGGTAGTTCGGATTAGGCTTCCTATTCCGAACTATCGGTACACCTCGTTTTTTAAGTTTATAATCTATTACGTTAGCCCATGCAAGTCTCCTTATGTCCCTCTGTCTCTAGTAAACATAGAAGACTGAAAATAAGTTGTCAGAATAAAGACACTCTTTGATTGTACATTTGGAATTGACCTTTAAATTTTGATATTACCGTTTGGTCATATATGAAACCAGTCGTTATAATGTTTGTCTATATAAGCTATGTGGATAATTGCAATAATACACCAAGATAATTTATTGTCTAGTCTCAGCCATTTTCTGTGGTCATGTCAGACCCCACTATGTGATTTCAGCAAGGGAGAAACTTTAACTTGAGCATCATTGCTAGTGTGATAGGCTAAGTCTACGCTACAAAGAAAAGTTGGAAGAAGATACACAAATTGCAAACTGCAATTTTTCGTATCTTTTTCTGCTTTTCTTTTGAAAGAGGCTTTTCCAAAATTTTGCTCATCTACATGGTGCCAAATTTTGGAAAAACCTTCTCTTTTGAGCCAACCCCTGTGAAACAAGGTTTACAGGAATGGCGAAAGAACACATCTGCTTTTCCAAAAAATTTTTCGAAAAAGCAGACGCGTTCCTTGAACATGGCATAGCTTTTCCGGGATACCTCCGGTATCGCAGAAAAGAGCCACAGTCTAGACGTAGCCATAGAAAAACAGCCATTTTAAGACAAATCTCTTTTTAAAATCATTATTATTTAAGATATTACTTAAAGTGCATTACAAACTCTGCCATTTTGGTCCATCAGCTTTGCCCTGCAGTCTGTGGTCTATATACCAACACAAAAGCTACACATTCTTTTAGCTTTGGCACCTACTCTTCATACAGTTCTTTGAGCCCTATGCATCATTCAAGATTGCTAAGAAGCATCATTGAAGTATGTTGCTTGGAGTTAGTGTGTCTCAGGATAAAATCATTAGGCCTAGGGAACCATGACTCAAGTTTTGGACAGATAATTTAGTACAAGATTAGTAAAAGACATTAAAATGTATTAAAATGCTAGTCACAACTCATGTTAGGGTTGGAGGTTGATAGGACTTAATTCCAGACCAGAATATTTTGGAGCATAGGAAATTGCATGCTGAAACACACCAAATGTTCATAAAATCACTCACAGTGACTCTGTCACTGACAGTGGTCAATACCTGATACACTGCAGAGAAGGCATAATACACTCACAATGTTTCTGTAGAGAAATATTACATCATAGGATGGGGAAGAGGAGTATTTTTTTATCCTAGCTAGAGATCAGTTTATGCTCCAAAGCACGATGCCTGAGAGCTCTTGTAGTTTTGACCTATCTAACATAATTCCAAATAACCAAGTAATAGTTGTTCTTAATACAGTAAAACTCCAATAGTCCGGCATCCAATAGTCCGGCACTCCTGATAGTCTGGCATCAAAATGGCAAGAGCCTACTGAGTGAGCTTCGGCAAAAAATGAGGCACAAGCTTACAGCTGCAGCAGCTGAACTGAGCAAAAAGGGTAAAAAAGGCTTAAAAAAACTAAAACATTACAGTATACTGTATACAGTATGTACAATAAAAAGGGTTAAGAACACTTTATATACAGTATATAATGTATACAGTATATATATAACCAGCTTATAGTACCTCCTGATAGTCCAGAATATCTGATAATCCGGCACCACCTAAGTCCCATAGGTTCCGGATTATCGGAAGTCTACTGTAATTAGAGTTGTTGCTGTTAATGATGACTCAGCTGCAAACTCATTAGATCTCACAGAAGAAATTTAGGGATATGTCATGGTTTCAGTCTCCTGTGAAAAACCAAACATCTTATTTTCACGTAAATATGTCCTTGATCATGTGGATACTTATTAAATATTTGTATTACTTACTGTATTATGTGCTCAGAGGCCTCAATCAGAGAGCTCAGGCTCCAATTTATGTTGACACTGTACAAATGTAAAAAGATACATCCTGCCAAAAAGCTTACAGTCTCATGGTAGCAGTCTTGTCTTCTTCTTGATCTGCTTCTAGTGTTTCTTCAGGTTTCATTCACTCAGGCCATGTCTACATTGCAGATAAGATCAAAGTAGCTGCAGTCGATTTTCCAGGGTTCAAATTAGTGGGTCTAGTGAAGAAACGCTAAGGTGAACTGAGAGGATGGGCCCATAGATGCCTGTAGTCCTGCTTCCATGAGGAGTAAGGGAAGTCAAAGGGAGAGTGTGCTCCCTTCAACTTCCTGCACCATGGACAGTGCCAAAATTCCAGTTAAGATACACTGACTTCCGCTACGCAATTAACGTAGCTGAAGTTGCATATCTTAATTTGAACTTATTCCCTAGTGTAGACCAGGGGTTGTTAAGTGCCCTTGACTGTGTACTGAGTCTTCAGCCTTCCAGGTAGTTACCTAGGGTTTCAAGAGATTGGACAAAACAGAACTGAACTGAAGGAAAACAGTCAAAACTCAGTTTGCCATTTTTCCTGTTTCGTTTATGGATGTTTACACCTGGAGGCCCTGGCTAGATTGCCCATTCTTAGAGTAGTCTCTGAGTGTTATTCAGTAGCCATAATTCACCAGAGCCTTTCATGCCCATTAGGTGCTAGAGTTGTGGCCTTTTGAATCTTTACTCCTTACTGAATGCTCTTTTTTAGGGTGAGCTGAAAGGTCTGTTTAAAATCTCTTTAAAATACATTCCCAGGAAAGATGTACAATGCAAGCTGGACTCTCACGGGTTTTTGGGGAAGGAGGGAGGAAGGAGTATGATGAGAGGATATTACTGGAGAATATTGGAACTTTCTATGATTTTGAGTATAATTCAGCAGTGTTGTTGAAGCTTCAGCAGAGTTCCAGAAGCAAGTCTTACATAGTATCAAGTTTTATATCCTCTTATGTAAAGTTTATCTGGGTGGACTATGACATATTGAAATTTAATTAAATGCAATTACTGAAATTATGCTTTCACTGACCCTGCTGCCAATGCAGCCAAAATGGATGTCTTCTACAGGATTCCTTTTTGCCTATACACAGACACACAAGAAAGATGTTTACAGGCATAGTTTGGTCTTTTGCTGCTATTGCCTTCACTGTGAAGCAGTAAACACTAGGGATTAAATGCCTGGATAGTATAGTGATGGGCATTCTTACAGCTAACATAAATAGAAAGTGGGTATATGAGTCCATAAAGGCAGTGAAAGTGTTTCATTCTTATACAGTTAAGTTTGTGATTCTGAAAGGATTAGGTTGGTTAATTTCTTTTCACAGAAAGGATTCATTTATTTATGATTTCTGGTCCCTTTGTTCCAAAGCTCCCATTACAATTATTTATTAACTTAATAAGGGCTTGCTACACGAAAGGGTGTACAACTTTAATTCTACTAGCGCAGTTAAAGCAGTACCACCCTCCTAGTGTGAATGCAGTAATATTGACATAAAGGTGTTTTTTTACCTTGATTGCTGTTTCCATAGAGGAAGGGGAATAAGCTATAGTGGCACATTTATACAACTGCATATACTTGAAGGCTTGTACCAATATATAACTACTTTCGTCAAGCAACACACCCTCACCAAAATAGTTATACTTGTACAAAAGCTGTGTGTCGATCTGGCCAAAAACTGCAGAACTCACATCTGCTTTCAATGGTGACTACTCATTAAATGTATCCACTAATTACAGGAGCAGTCTATCATGCAAGACTAGCATCTGATAACCCCTCCAGAAGTGGTTGCTTTGGTTTTTACTAGCTGCAGCTAGTGTTCATCCTTGATGAAAGGGACCATGTTGTTTGGCTAGAAACTTACTCAGCTATGCTTGGACTTCTGACTCTGTTTTAGCAGACATTAGAACAAGAGCTAAACTTTTGATATGTATTACTAATAGTGTGGTTTGGCTGTGTTCCACTCTGGTTGTACACTAACAATCAAGTCATAAACTTGATATAGCAAAACTAAACCTTGTGTGCCTTTAATAAACCAGGGTGATAACCATTAGCACTTTCCCTATATGTTTTACTAATTTGTTCTTGTACTTACTAACATAAAAGGTCCAGATTACAATATATCTTAGCAAAGAATTCACATTGCTATTGCAGCACTGGTAAGATGGCAGATTTCGTGAACATAAAGATAAGAATCAATAAGCAACGTAAGGGCCTCATCCTAAATTGCATTCAGATTCCAAAATGCAGTTCTATTATCTTCTTATAGGTTAGCTTCTCAGTAGAGTGTATACAGTATACCTTTGATGTTTATGATGCATAAGCTTTTATAAGCACTGTTGTATAACATGTTCGGAAATGCTAGCGAAGTCTTGCACCTCTTGTTTTTATTTCAAAATCCCATTATGGAGTTTGTCTTTTCAGTTAGAGGCAGATTGGTATACAGTTAGTTGAAGTCATACTGCAATTGAAATATGCTGAACAATTCTAAAGAAGATTTTGCATGCATCTCAGAGGTTTAAGTTAATTTTAAAAATTTCTAAAAAATCTGCAGCTTTTAATAAAGTTGTAGTTAGCATGGGTGTATTGAGTAGGTGTTTTGATGTATCTTTCCATGTCATTCCATTGCCAGGAATGCATTTCTCTCTAATTGATGACTGTTAATCATTTCTGTCTGTGTAATCAATAAAAGTGGCACTGTGAAATGCGATCCTTTTTGGTCTGCAGGCCAGCCTTGGGTGGTCTCCTTACATCATCTTATCGGCAGCACCAAGAGTCGTTGGCAGCGGAAAGAGAGAGGCGACGTCAGGAGAGAGAAGAGAGGTTGCAAAGGATAGAGCGGGAAGAGAGAAACAAATTCAAGTAGGCGATAACAGTGTTCTTTAACAATTTGTTTTCTTAATGCCATATGTTCTTAATTAATGGGGAAATTTCATTGCAGTGTTCTTCCTCCAGCTGTGTGACAAGGTATAAACAGGTTTAAAGATTGATACATTAGAGAAAGGGTATTTATGAATTGTAGCATTTATTGAAACTACCAGCTTTTGTGTACCCAGCCAATTATATTGGCTCAATAACTGCACAGGATCTCATCCATTAACCAGTTTACTCTCCCTCGGACCATATTGTTTATGTTGGGTGCAAGGGAGAGGTCTCGAAGTACCTTAATTATTTACTAAGTAAAAACATGTCACCTTTAGGAGCATATGATACTTTGTGAAATATTGCACTTTTCTAGAGTACTTTACTTCCAGTTAGCTTTAATGCTCTGGGAGTCATAGAAAATCAGAATCACTGCACAAACAAAATACGGGGCCTAATCTAAACCTCACTGAAGCCAATGTAAAGACATTCACTGACTATTGTGGGCTTTGGACGAGGTACATACAGTTAAAATTTATACAGATCCCTCCCAAAGGGGAAAAATCAAATAATTTGAAATTAAATAGTTTGCCAAAGGCTTCAGATTCAATAAGCTTAATAGGGAGTTTTCAGGAGTTCTGGAAATACTAGCTATAAAAAATTGCTTATGCTGTTTGTTAGTTGTACAGTGTCGTAGCAGATCTCATCAGAGTGGGACACCTTGTCCGTCTCCAGTTATGAAGTATTTTCTGCACACTGTGCATAGAAACAATTTCAGTGTGTCAAAATGAGGGGTGTGAGGAAAAGAATACTTTCATGAAGTAGAAGTCAGATCATAGCAGCCTGGAAAGTAATGCTGTTTTATACATAAAGCATTTAATTTATAGTCCTAGAATATATATTAATAAAAAATTGGGCACTGGTTTTCATGTAATTTTGACTACAGAATTATGCCCTTTTCTGTTTTAGTATGCATCTAAGAAATGGAAGTAATCTATTTTGTCTGTAGAGAGACTGTGAAAGAGGGGACTTAAAGGTTATTAAGAGAGGTTATATTAAATCATAAATAGAGGAAAACTAAGAAAATTTCACAGAAGACTTCTTTAATCAGTGAAGATGTTCTCCCAGCCCCAGAAGACATCTAGTTCAGTGAAGAAAAAAGGAAGAGGAGGGCAGGGCCTAAGGTGTGACAAAAGAATCTTTGGCAGCCAAAAGTGGTCCAAGTTCTCCTGAAACAGAAGCAATCAGATCCCAATCCTCCAGCTCCTTCCAAAAACTCTCCCTCCAAATGGTATCATTTTGCCACAGTAGGTAGCCATGAGCCAGCCAACATCAGCTTCCAGAAAGGAAACTCCCAGACCAACAAAGCCACCACAGAGCATTTGTCAGCTTGAATGACATATCTGCACATCTCACCAGAAACATGCAGGCTACGTCTACACTGGCCCCAAATTCCGGAAAAGGCATGCAAAGCAGGTAAGTCAGAATAGGGAAATCCGCGGGGGATTTAAATATCCCCCGTGGATTTAAATAAACATGTCCACCGCTTTTTTTCCGGCTTGGGGAAAAGCTGGAAAAAAGCATCTAGACTGGCGCGATCCTCCGGAATAAAGCCCTTTTCCAGAGGATCTCTTATTCCTACTTTCAGAGAGCTTTATTCCGGAGGATCGCGCCAGTCTAGACGCTTTTTTCCGGCTTTTCCCCAAGCCGGAAAAAAAGCGGCGGACATGTTTATTTAAATCCACGGGGGATATTTAAATCCCCCGCGGATTTCCCTATTCTGACTTACCTGCTTTGCATGCCTTTTCCGGAATTTGGGGCCAGTGTAGACGTAGCCACAGTGACAGTATTCGCATTGGGGATAGTTCCTAAGGATAGAAAAATGAGACCATGCAAGTGAAATAAAGAAAAAAATATATTAATTCCATTCCATAATCTCCTCACAGTTGTTAAATTAAGAGTATAATCCTGTGAATTGCTGAACAGCCCAAATTGCTAAAAAAGTGGTCACCCTCCAGTTAGCTAAGATGATGGTTGAGATAACTAAATAACTTGTTTGTGTACTGTTAGAGAAGAAACAGGTGACCCAGGAGTGGATGGAGTAAACAGACCTCTTTATTGCAGATACTCGTTCCCCTCAAACTCCACCCCCCAACACGACATTCCGAGCGAGCAATAATTTGGCACTAGTTACACTCTTTTATCAATTTTAGTATGTTAATTCGCACATCAATTACTACTCCCCCTAAATCCTTATTTAGTAATGTTAACTCCTATACAATGAATATTAACAGGCATGTGATGAATGTTGTTATACCTGCCCCTAATTACTGTTGGCAGAATTTCTAATTAAATCAACACTTTTCTACACTAGAAACTTTCCAAGTCAGCAGGCTACAGAGATTACAAAGGATGTGACCCCAAAAGTATTTTTACAGAGCAAATAAGAATCAGTAAGAGGTAGGTAAAAGGCACAACAAAGAAGAGCCACTACATGCCTATCTATCTTTCTAGGCTGAAAAAACGGAGACAGAGCATATTTATACATCAGAAAGGATAATACCTGCTTTGGCCTGACCCTTTATCTGTCTTTCTAGAACAAAGGGGAAAAAACGTATTCAAAGGACAGTGCCTGCTCTGGTTGGACCCCTCCCACTCATGTATAGCCATCTCAAACCCCTATTAATTCTTACATATCCCAACACATACATGTTCAATATTTGAGTTATTTTTCGTAGTTAAGTATAGAACAACATTTCTAACAATATGAGACATGCTTCTGGAGTAGGGAAGTGGTACAGAGGATTAGCCTGGGGTGTATGGAGAAGTCACTCAAAGTATGTCTACGGTACAGTTAGATACCCGTTACTGGCCCATGACAGCTGTCCTGGGCCCGCAGGAATCAGGTTAAAGGACTGTTTAATTGCAGGGTAGACATTTGGAATTGGGGTGCACCCCAAGCTCCAGGATCCTCTTCCCTCACAGAGTTTTGAAACCCGGGTCCCAACCTAAACCTGAACATCTATATCACAGGTAAACAGCTCTATAGCCTAAGCCCTGCAAGCCTGAATCAGATGGAATGGGCCAACCATAGGTTTTTAATTGCAGTGGACAAATACCTTCAGTTTTCTCCCTAATCTCAGTTTTCGGGGTTTGGTGGGGGGTTAACTTTAGTCTCCTAACTGTTATGGTTACAAAGAAAATATATAAACTGTGAACCAGTGAGTAACAAACACTTTAATGATGTCTTGCATTTGCAAAGAGATTGTGAAACAACACTTTTAAGATGTGCACTACATTTTTAATTTCAAAGGATTCTGATTACAATGCCAGTGAGGAATGTCAGCTTTATTGATTATTTCATAAAAGCATGTAACAAAGGAAGAAGAAGATCTTCACAGTCTGCTCCGAGTGACTGCTTATTTGGAATAGAGCCTTAACAACACATTGTAGAATTGAAGAGCAGTGAGATCAATTTCATTCTCCTGAAAAGAACTCGCCTTTTTAAAGGAAGATCTAGAGAGGACAGTGCAAATATTTATGTCTCTTTATCTATATATGCAAATTTAACACACTCTTAAGGGTAACTTCTGTATGTGAATACTAAGGAAGGGATATGATAGCTGTCATAAGATGTGTAATTAGTGCATATTCCAGGAGCAGGTAAAAAAAATAGTTCATTTGATAGAAAAAAAAAGAAGTAATGGGATGTGATCAATAAGTAGAAGATTTCTGGAAAACTTCCTGGCACAGTGGTCTTACAGGCTGAGAAATTGTCTTAAGTGATGAAAGTCCTACCAGTTTTGTCTAAACACTTGACAAAACTCCATTAAATGGAGTGTAGGGACAATCTTGCATCAGCAGAGGTATTGGCTAAGCTGTTAGCTGGTCTAAGAGCTTGTAACTAGGAATGTAAAATCCCTGTTAATCAGTTAACTGGTTAAAGGTTAGGTTAACCTAATGTTTGACTGGTTAACCAACTAAGTGGGATCTGGGCTTGGGACCACTCCAGTGTGGCTGGAGCAGCCTCCAACCTGTCGAGCTCCTGCCCCCAGCCCCATGCAGGGCTGCCTGCCAGCTCCTACCCACACACTGGAGTTAGGGCTGCCACCAGTTCCTGACTCCCAGCCGCTGTCCATGGCGGTCCTGTGCTCCCCATGGGCAGAGGCTGCTCCCCGGGAACAGCCACTGCCTGTGAGGTGCCAAGGCTCCCTGCAGACGGAGGCTGCTCCACAGCAGACAGGGTTGCTGCAGCCCCCACCAACTACTTATTTAGGGTGATGCTTACCTGTTAACCGGTTAACCTTTCACATCCCTGCTTGTAACCTCTGCTGTTCTTATATAACCTATGAAATAAACATGCTGCAAATAATATAAAGAACATTTCAGCAATAAATAAATATCATGAGTGGGACGTCACACCAGTAATTACACCACACAAGTGTCAAGCAAAATTGATCTGGCAAAAGGGATTAAAGGGTAAGAGGAACTAGATGAGAAAGAATAGCAGAAATGTGAGGCCAGATGTAAGTAGTGGCATTTGAGAACATGTAACTTGTCCAAAAGTCAGGGACATGAAAAATAATAGACAAACATGTGCCAGAAATTCTATTTTGGGCTTCTAAGCCTATAATTCAATGTTGCCCATTTTTAATCTATGCTTAGTACCCTTTCCCACTGTACATATTTGACGTGATGTTGACCTATATTGTATCTATATACATATGAACACACATGCACCCTCTTCCACATTTATTCAAGGGGCAGACACAGATGTCTTCAGCGAAGATAATTACCTAAAATTGTCTTGGTTTTAGCTATTTGTTTCTCTTACTATTTACCTCTGTCATCTTCCTTATTCCTGTTCCTTCTTATTCCTTTATTTCCTCTTCAATTTATTGCAACTTTAGCCGTGATTACTTAGACAAAAGAGAGGAACTAAGACAAGCAAGAGAAGAGAGGTTTGTACCTTTTACTTCTTGCTTTCAGTTGCTTTCTTCTTACTCTGTCCATTATTGTGTGGCTGTTGTCTATTTAAGTATACTTTTAACCATGCATGCTAGGGACAATTTTGTTTAAAAGGGAACTATAAGAATTTTGTGCTTTCACTAAATGAGAAAGGAGTTTCGTCCTGGGCGTAGGAATAAATACAAGTGCAGTAGAACAGGTGTGCATGGAATTGTTTGATTGACACTTTTATCTGTTGATTTGGAAAATAATACCAAGTATTGCATTTGCACCAGAAATTTGCCCAAATGTTAGTATAGTGGTAGATGGTCTAAACCAGTGTTTCTCAACAGATGGCTATGACTCTTCAGGGGAGATCATGAAAGGCAGTTAGATGGTCCTGAAGCATTGAACACAGTACTACTATCTAAAGCAAAGAAAATAGGTTAGCAAAGAAAATGTCATTGCCTTATTTCCAACACACCCTTATCGTTAAAGATCAAGTATTTTCTCAGAACTGCTCAAAACACACACATGAATTATATAGACTTAACATGGTTAGCATGAATACGTTTTAACTCTTTCAAAATAAATATAATGGGAGTTGCAAAAGAATTGTACTTGAAATAAAAGATTGCCAACTGGAAAGGCTGAGAAACCTAAGCAATTACTGTATATGCTCGTTTATAAGCCAACTTTTTTTTTGAAAAAACAATCCTACTCTGAAGAGCAGGAATTGGCTTATAAATAGGTCAGCATAAATGGCAAATGGCAGCAGTACTCACTGCCGTTCACCGTTCCAGTCAAGGGGAGGGGTTAGAAGCGGCGGCCAGCACGTCCCTCGGCCTGTGCTACTTCCTCAGCTCCTTCCCCCTCCATCTCCTGCCCATCCACAGAGGATACGGTGAGGGGGTTCTTGTGGCCAAAGGCAGCTCCTTCCCCAGCACTCCGCCCTTGGCCAGGCACACAGCCCTGGGGGAGAAAAAAAAACAACAACAAAGGGAAAAGAAAAGTAAGGATCAGGCCCACCACAGGACAGGAATTTTCCATCAGAAGATTCTTACCAGGGGCTCAGCATTCGTGACCAGCTGCACACATGCTGCCTCCCACCTTCGGGATGGGATCTTGCTACCCCGGGAGGCACCATCTGTCCACCCACCTCAAGCTGTGCCACCATTTACACTCCAGCCCCCTGTTCGAGTATATATGGTAGTTTCCTATGCCTATGAAAGCAAGTTTCAAGGAGCACTCAAATAATAGACTTTCTCTTCGCGTAATTTCTAACAGTGAAAAAAATAACAAACGGTCTGGTAGCATTTTATAGATTAACAAAACATGTAGGAATCATGAGCTTTCGTGGGCACAGCCCACTTCTTCAGTTGACCGGAGTTATGAGTAGGGGAAATGAAAACTCGAAATAAATAGGAGAAGGGGGTGGGGGAGAGAAAGATGCTCTGTCTCCCACCTCCCTTCCCCCCTCCTTTTTTTTTTTTTAAGTATCTAGAGAAAGGATGCTAAACCTGACAGATAAAAATCTTGCTAAGGTAGGAAGAATACCATTCAGAAAGCTGTTAGCACCTTCAGTTTTCAGTGGTTGCCATTAAAGGCGAGACACAATTCTTGTTTTCTCCTACAAAATGTGTATGTTACTAACTAGATAACAGACAACAAAAATCAAGAGTACTCCAGTTTTGTTAGGCATGACATATGCTGCATGGTTACCATTGAAAGACTACTAGACAAAGCGACCCATGGAATATTTTTCAAAATTATATTTTATTACATTAATGTGAAGGGAGTCCTCCTAGAAATCATCTAGCTGGTGGATTTCTACTCTGGCAATACAAATGATCACACCGGAAGCAATTTCCTCTTTCAAACATAGAGTCTGACCCAGCAACAATTGTGGTTAAGTTAGCCACTGTTAATTTTTTTTGACATTTCTAAATTCAGACAGAGGCTGATATGCTTTCCCTCATCTTTACAACCAAAAAGTACAGCCATTTAAAGCATCTTTTGAAATGAAACACATCTGACCGCACATATAACAAGCACTGATCATAGCTGGGTATAAACTTTTACAGCAGTCCTGCTGGTAAGATAGATTTGAAACAAATTAGAAGTGAGTTCTCCAGCATTTTTGGGTTGTAATGGAACATGCTGAAGTGAGCTGGAGTGTTTTTTTGGAAATGTTGACCAGCAGGGCATCATTGCTATACGGTCTGGGCCAATTTTACCAATCATTAGCAATATATCTTGATGTGTATTTATCTTGAAATGAAAAACTAAACTTTTAGTTCCTTCTCATGAAGAGCAAAGAAACATCCCTCGTAGACAGTGCAGAAATGTTAGAAGAAAACCCCACTACAGAGGTCAGTCATCCGTTGCATTGGCCTTATGTAATTTTGTTTTATAAAGTCTGTTTCATCAGACGTTCTCTGACAGTACACTTTTATGGGCTATTTTTTCAAATATATTTCCCATCTTAAAACAAAAGTAGCTCAAAAAGTTGTGTTGAAATCCTCTTTAGTCTTAAGTGTCTTCAGGTTCTTGGAGCAGTCTTGTGTACTATCACATAGTATATGAACCTCTTCATGTAACACCTAGAATAATATATGCCCTGAGCCAGAGCCAGTTAAAGTCAATGGGAAGTTTTCCATTGACTTCAACAGGCTTTTGATCAGGACCTTAATGAGCAAGTAAAAAGTGTAATTCTATCTTTCCTTTGATTTGCGAGTGTGAATCAGCAATGCTATTTTGGTGTTTAATGGCAGATAGTTTAAAAAGGTCCTTGCCAAGAAACCCTCTCAGAATCTTTCCTAGAGTTTTACAGTAAAAAATGGAACCTATATTATTCCAACCTATATCTGAAGACTTTGCTGATACAAAGGGTTACATACAATTCCCAGTGCACTAGGGAACGTTTAATTACATGTTTATTCTCTTAAATAGTCTTAAACATAGCAAACTGACAACCCTCTTAGTCATAGAACAGGCTCAGCATATGCCCTGGCATTGCAAGTTGTCCTAATCTAGAGGAACCTGGAAGAATGGATGGTTTCAGTGCCTCAGCCCTGGACTGGAGGAACCACATGTAGGAGAGAGATAGTCGTTCATTCTTTGTATCCATTTGGATCTTAGCCTTTATAAGACTGCTAACAAGGAAGATAATGTGATAGTAGGTTTTTGGTATAGATACCTACTCATTAGGAATTGGATTTAAACCATCCATTCATTTAACATTGCTCACTGAATCCACATAAAATAGAAACAACTTTTGATCTCCATTCATACTTGTTGCCTATTGGTAAAAAAAGCTTAATTTAGACCTTTATTAGTTCCTGAGTTACCCAATAGCCACGTGAGTCTTAAATCTGAATATTCTCTATCTTCAATTTCTTGTGTAATGCCTTGAGATTTGCTGCTATATAGGTTCATTTTTTACATTGTGACTAGGTTCAGTTGTGTATGTTGTCGGTCTGCTATTTTCCTGCAACTCAAAGCCACAGAAGCTAAAAAAGGTAAAACAGCTGTAAAAGAACAGAGGACAGTAAAACATTGTAGTCCCCCAAGTTACTGGGAGTTCCCTCCCGATTCTTGCTGTAGTGCATTGGCACATTGCAGAAAATTTCAATGCAGCCAGCTGTTCTGTACCTGGTTTAGCTAAACAATCTATTTGAATGTCTTTTTATGAGTCCAGTGTTCCATCTGCTCCATTTGTGGGGCGGGGGAATTCCTGATTGACTGTAGTTAAAATAAAAGCTGGTTTAATTAACTATGTAACAAAATATCATGATAATATTTGTGAAGGGCTTTCACTTCTTTCGGAAAAAAAATCATTCTTTAGAATTGGCTTCATGCTAGAACTGTAAACAGTTCTTATTTTATAACCATACAAGTATGTGACTTGTTATTTTTTCATCCAAAGTCTGTAGGGGTTCCTTTTCCTGCGAAATCTCAGTTCAAAGCATACCTATACCTCAAGAGGAATTAAAAAAATGAGTTTATTCTTTGTTATTGTGGTTTATAATAATGCAACTTGCACCAGCAAGCACAAGAAGTGCTCTTCAAAGACATCTTTATATGCAGAATAGTTATGCTTGTGAATGTGCATGATTACTGCATGCACTAAGCATGTTTGTTATCATATATGGCTGATTTCCTTGCCCTTTACTGGATTTAATATACACATGTGCACTAATTCTGCCTGTCATTGAGGCAGTATTGGGAAAAGGGGTGTTCCTTGTTATCATGTGTTTATAGCAGTGGGTTGTTGGAGGATGACCACATAGTCTTTCAGAGATATAGGCAGCAGTCTTGATTAACCTGTTTAATAGTTCACTTGTGAGTAAGACAGAGTCAGGAGCCTTCTACAGCTGTATTCATAAATATATTCCTGAGCAAATAATGGTGCATAAAATTAGCAGACATCTGGAAGAGGCAAAGTTATTTTGGTCCAAATGTATAAAGCTCAGTATGCAGAATATGATTGGTAGCTGGTCTTAATAAACAGTTAGTGAGTTCTGCCTGCCTAAAATGCAAAACAGATGTATCTTTGTTCTTTTAAACTGACTTTGATGAATAAACTATATGTGACGTCAGGTCCAAGCTATTGGATGTCTGAGTCCGGCAGAGAAATTTTTTAGAATAAAAAAAAAAGTTTCCATTGTAGACTCTGGAGAGAACAAAGTGAATTCCAGTGCATTGCTCTTAAAGCAAATAGAAGCAGGTTCAGAGTCTTAGATAGTCCTCAGTCAAACATTTATTATTGGTATTATTTTCAGGGAGAGCTGCTTTTGTCTCCTGGACTGAACTACTTTTCCTCTCCATGCAGCAAGTCTGGGACTTTGGCTATTTGCATCAGTTTAGAGGGCTAAGGTTTTGAAGTGCTTTTTATGTTGCCGGGAGTGGGGAGGGGGAGGAACAGACAGATGCTTCCAAAAGTAGGAAGGCAGGACTGTGTAGACAGGATACAGTATCTAAGGATTGTTTAATGTTACTATTTTTTATTTTGTCATGAGCAACTTAATATTTTTTTGGTTAATATCATTTACTTTGGTGAATTTTTACTGTCCAGCTGACCCAGCACTCATTTTAGCACTGTCCACCCTCTGTTGGGAAATCAGCTCATTCTCTGCAGGTGCTTCGTCTATAAACAAGCATCAACCACTGGCTTCTCTTTCTTTACGGAAACCCTTTGGAATTTAACTTTCAGATACAAATACTTGGAGAAGTTGGCAGCTGAGGAGTATGAGAAGGAGCTGAAAAGTCGGAGTATATTCCGAGGCAGAAGTGAGCTGTCCTTAAACTTGAGTTCTCCTTCAGCCCCATCCTCGCCTATTCCCAAGTGCATCAGCCCAACTTCCATAGAGTCCCAGGAGGAGCTGAAAACCCCTTCGACACCCCGTGGGACTCCTCAGCCCTCTGAAGGTGAGTGCAAATGAGGATGGGGAGAAAGGAGCTTGCCTGTCTATTTAGCACAGGTTTTTGTGCATGAATACAGGACTATAAACTCTATAGTGTCATGACTTATTCCAGGGGTCCTTACTTAACAGATCAGTCTTAGCTGTCCATCTGAATTTTTCTCTTGTTTTCTCATATGCCTTCCGAGCTACTTGTGCTAGGAATATGTAGTAATTCATTGTTGCTATTGTTTCTAGTTATTATTATCGCCCATTGTTATTAGAATAAAATAATTAGAAAATTATTTAACATCATGTTCTTTGTATATCAGTAGTTACAGAATGCTGAAACAACAGTGCGCCTGCCAATACATTTTGCTTATGTGGGTTCTCTGAACGAAATGCAACTGCTGAATGCCAGAATTCTAACAGCCTTCCAGCATAGCACAGGCTGAATGTGAGAAACAGAAGAAATACTGAATTTAAGGGCTTAGAGGGGTATCCGTGTTGGTCTGTAACTGTAAAAACAATAAGCAGTCCTGTGGCACCTTGGAGACTAACAAATATATTGTATCATGAACTTTCGAGGGCAAAACTCACTTCATCAGATGAGTGGAAATTACAGAGTCCAGAGTACCAGCAAAAGCAGTTACCTATCAATTGTAGGACCAGAGTTAATGACGCTAGTTGAGTCAAGCCAGATATGTCAATTTATAGCTATGAATGAGACACATCCAGCCTGACTCAATTAGCAATTGACAGGTAACTGCTTTTGCTGGTACTCTGGACTCTGTAATTTCCACTCATCTGATGAAGTGAGTTTTGCCCTCGAAAGTTCATGATACAATATATTTGTTAGTCTCCAAGGTGCCACAGGACTGCTCATTGTTTTTGAATTTCAAGGGAATTTTTTGATTATTTTTAAATAATGCAGAAAAACTTAAAGTTGTAGCAAAACTAGTAGTAGAGACCAAATGCAATTTAGAAGAAGGAAAGTAGAATTAGTATTTTTTGTGGTTCGTTTGTTGTCATATAATTTATTGGTGTCTAGAGTGATATTATGTATGCACATCATTCCACCACTCACATCATGTATCTCTCTCTCCAAAGAAAAAATTATAGAGATGTATATTCTTGCCACGTGACACTGCATTAACATTGGGAACCTCTGAGCATGTTGAGGATGAATTATTACCATCATTTTCTTTTATTTGATTTGATTTCCTGCTACATGCTGTTCGTGATTAATGCTTTTATAATTTGCGCTACTTGGTTTTATTGGGTACGATGGCTTTGAAGCACGTTGTAAAGCAATACAACTATGATGAAAGAAGATACTGCAGTTGCACTTTGGGTGTATTTACTCTCATAGCATTAAATCTCAAGTCAAGTTTATTTAGTTTGAGTTTACATGATTTCTTTATTACTGATTCCTTTGGACAGCAGAGCCCCCATAAGTCTCTGTGGGATAATTGCTCAGAAAATACAGATATTTTGCTGGAACATTTGTCTTTCAAAATATTTTAAATCCCAGTTATTCAAATCCATTGTTGCTTTTAGAGCAAATGAGCTAGATTTTTCCACCATTAGGATTTCAGGACTGGGTAAGAAAGAAGAATCTCTTTTATGATGATTATTTAAACATATTTCCCCTGGAAGCATGTTCAAAATGACAGTATAAAATGGAGTATGTATTTGGAACAGGTGCAGAGAGCAACTCCAGGCAGTTGGACAGTGGAGAGGCTATCGTCAGTCAGTCAGCCAGCAAGTGCACAGGGCATCTGAAGTGGAGCCCTTAACAAAAAAGAAGTGGACAGTGGGCAGAGCAACATCAGGCATAAAGCACACGGGTAGAGCTTCAGCAGGCAAAATTTGTCATAAGGCAACTCTAAGCATCCATTGGGTAGCTAGGACAGCATCAGAATATGGGTCCTGAAATCTATGTATTTTGGTGGGTGTTTGCTTGAGTAAGGTCTGTTTTCTTAGGCCTTCAGGCAGCAGCAGAAAGGCAGCACTGGGAATTTGACAAGTGGGGGTGGGGCAGCAAAAACCCCTTGCTGTTTCCTAATGAACAGGGAAGCTCATCAGACTGGTAGTGGTAAACTGGACAGCACTAGACTGGCAGTCAGTTTGTGTGCCCTGTTGACTGAGCATCTCACACAGTGTGAGTGTGGTTCTTTTTGTAACCAAAAGATCACTTTTTCAATGTAAGTGCAATGTAAGATCTACCTCAAACCCAGATACCCCTGCTCCACTTTCTTCCCGCCCCTTCTTTGAGGCCCCATCCCTTCTCCAAGGCCCATCCTGCTCACTCCATCCCACTTCCTCCACTATCCTCACTCACTTTCCCCAGGCGGGGGAAGGGGGTTGGGATGGAGGCTCTGGTCTTGGGCCAAGGGCTTTGGAGTGTGGGGGGGACTCCAGGCTTAGCCCAGGGTGGGGGATTGGAGTCCAGGAGGGGTTTCAGGGTGCAAGCTCTGGAAAGGAGTTGGGGTACAGGAGGACTCACGTCTGGGTGTAGGAGTAAGTTAAGGGCTGGGGCAGGGGTTCAGGAAGCAGGCTCTGGCTGGGCACCGTTTAACTGAGATGACTTCCGGGTGGTGGAGCAGTGGGGTTAAGGCAGCCTTACTCCTGCCCTGGCCCTGCACCACTCCTGAAAGCAGCTGGCATGTACAACAATGGCTCCATGGCACCATGTGTCATATACAGGCACTGACCCCACAGCTTCTACTGACCGGAATGGTGTCTGCAGGCAAGGACAGCATGTGGAGACCCCCTGCTCTGCCTTTCGCAGGGGCTGCGGGGACACGCCAGCTACATCCAGGAGCAGCAATTATCACAGGGATACTTACTGCAGCCACAACAGGTTTGGCATTTTAGAACTCCCTACTCAAAGAATTAAATTTAAGTGTAAGAGAAAAATGAAAATGATGAAATGCACAGACCAGTCAAAAACCAAAACTAACCCACTTTGCAAACAGTAAAAGAAGACCCTGACATCAGCATCCCCCCTTTTCTCCCTCCCACACCCTGCATAGCAAGAAGGAGGCTACCGGGGGGGCAGCTTCTAGGCCGAGGGCAGGAGCAGCATGACAGTGGGTGGAGGGGAACTGAAGTGCCAGCGCTTGATAGCTTCCTGGCCAAATCAGTCAGGATCACCTGTCAGAGGCTCCAAGATATACTGGTAGATCCCAATCTACTGGCTGGTGACCACTGCTCTAATTCGTGTAATTTCACAACAAGCCTCGAAATATTATTTGCCCTATTTTATAAATGGCAAAATTGAAACATTGACTTGCATACAGTCACATAGGGAGGCTGGGACCGAGCTGGGAACCCAGCTCTCCTGAATCCCAGTCTAAAGTTTTATCTCTAAGACAGATTCTTCCTAAGCAAAGGGAAAATTGCAGAAGGAAAATGTGCGATACATTATATGGACTGTAAGATACAACCTTTCAAAGAAATGTGTTAATTAGCTGGATATTTTTATTTGGTGTGTGTGACTAAGGGAGATGTGCAGAGTTCTCTAATTTGGGTGTCCCATGCATACACAGCTAATAAGAAAGATTCTCAACAGTCCCAATAAACCCAACGTGTGTCTAGACATTTAAATCAGGAGAGCTTGATTAGAAGTGAATTTCTGCAGAGACCTCCATCGGTGTCTATGGAGATTTCATCTACATATCCCTCACCAGGTAGAAGCTGAGAAGGTTGACTCAAGGTGGGATTATTTCAGCTCAGACTCAGGGCAGTCATTAAGAAGCAAAACTGGGAATGCTTTTGTTCTCTTATTGGGCTTGTAGGACTGGCTCACAGCCACATATGAGGAAATGCCACAGTTGTTAGAGACATCGAGTTCTCTGTCAATCACAGGGTTCTGTGATGGTTGGATCTGAAATAAGTTGTGCAGAGGTGAAGGACAGAGGAGAATACAGTATGTGCTGGGCAAAGCTGTAGTGGAGAAGGTATGAAGCAGGGTGAGCAGCTTGCAACGAGATGCTAATTATCCAAGCTGATGTAGGCCCTGATCTTGAAGACACTGCACGTCGTCTTAACTTCAAACTAACAAGTAGGCCCGTTGAAGGGAATAGAACCAGCAAAATGCTTAAAATTAACTAAGCATGTGTGGAGGTGTTTGCAGGATTGGAGCCTTGCTGAATATGATGGAGGTGGCTGCAGCCCACTTGCTAGAGGAGTCTAGGGCCTGGTGTGAGCTGTCCTAAGAGTGGAATTTTAAGATCTGCCTAACCTGGACTTAAGGTTGAGCATGTTGTTTGTTTTGTGTTCACTTGTCGATAAAGCCATGAGACAGTTATAGCTCATTTGTCACCTGTCCGTTCATATATCTGCCTGCTGGCTACTCCCTCAAGCTCACAATGCATCCCCTATTGCAATAGATGAGGTGGCAACACATGTGAAAATCACAGAATCTAGAGAAGTGAACTACTCCTTGTCTCTGCTAGTGCTGAAAACAGAAGCAGCTGCAAGATAGGATGGGAGCCGTGAGTCCAGAGAGATGTCACATGATGTCTGCAGCTTCTTCCCAGCCAAGCTTGTGAGTTGGTGGAATCACAGAGAGTGGGACTGGCAGTCGAGTCATGAGAGAAAGATAAAGGGGGTGAAGAAAAGAGACTCCAGCAGGGAATGAGGTCTGGGTGTTACAGTGAGACTGGTGTTGCTAAGGTTAGACGTATATTAAGAATAGGGGCAAACGGTAATGCTGTGTACACTACCAAGATTATATAGTTGATTTCAGCTGAACTATATTGGGTCCCTGGATAAAGCTAACAATTTTTAGATTTTAAAAAATTTGACTTCTTTACTTCTACTTGGGAAACATACAGTACTGATTGTTCTTTCATCAGCAGCAACAATGTAAATCTGAACACCTGCACCCCAACACTCAGAGTGTATGTCTTTGAACTTGACGGTAATGGTGTTTCATAACTTCTGAGGGACCTTGCAAATCTCCAGTGTTCACTACTCTGGGGATGCTTCATTTCTCTTTTTTCCTTTTTTCTTTTGCATCTCTTTGCTAGACTTTTTCACCCAAAAGGTGAATTGAATTCTAATTTCTTTAGTTCTCAGGATATGTCACGTCATACATAGCCAAGTTCAGAAACCACTAGAGGGCCTGAAGTGTATATTGCAAATATTGTAAACAAAAAGTAAGCAACCGGGGGAAAATCTAACAGGAATAAGATATTGCAGTTCAACCATCTTGCACAAGATTTAATACTAAGATGATGTGAAAACTGTGCTGACCTAATATGCATGTAGATTTTCATCACTTTTGCATGGCCATTTCAGTTTGCCAGGAGTCATGAGCTGCTTGATGTGAATATGTATGGATGCTTTCCAGTGTCTTCACAGCATAACAAAAAAAAATCTTGCATGTAAAAATCTTCTGGTTTAGCTGAAAACAATAAGGTGAATGACTGAATTTCACTGTGTCAGTGATAAAGCAAGAGGAGGAAACCAATTGCACCAGCAACAATGTATGCCATCTGCCAACCAATTACAAGCTAAATTTATGCCATATGCCATCCAATTGGAAGCTAAATTTATGCCATATGCCAAACAATTTGAAGCTCTGTTCAGTTTTGATGTGGCTTTTCTGAAGTAAATATGCATGAACAACATATGCTTTCTGTCAACCAAATTTGTATGACACTGTCATTTCCAAACTGTGCCATTTATTGTGCTTATAAAACTAATGTTTGTATCTTTTTGTTGAAGCACTCCACATTAGGTGAAAAAGAAGTTACCATAAAAATTCCTTCAGAAAACCAAGGGGATTCAACTCCAAAGCACGCTCTAATTCCTGTTTTTGTTTAACTCGTTCTGCATAGCTCAGGTTTATGATGGTTTGACTCGTTCCATGACCACAATAGCCAATCTTCTGATGAGCTACATGTAAAAAATTATGGATTAGGTACAGACTGTAAGCAACATAAATCAAGCAAGACTTGCCAAGTTGTACCCATGTTTGGTTCTGTCTGCACACAATGATCAGCAGTCTCTCTCTCATAAAGCTAGACTCTCCATGGACAAAAAAAAAACCACTTGTATATTTTTTACATCTCACTCATTTGGCTGGGTGAATCAAGACGACCAAGAGAAATTGTTGTTAAGTGAATCTTTTTTCTCCATTGTTCTCTCCACCAGTGAGTGCCAGTGAACCAGAACCAGAGACAGAACCAGAACAGGAAACTGAGGCAGAGGCCGAGCAGGAAACGGCGACACCACAGGAAGTTGAGGCTACGGAGGTGGGACCGGAGAGTGAGGTGGAGCAAGGTCCTGAGCGAGAGCCAGAAGAAAGTGCAATACTCAGTGAAAAAGAAAGGCAGAATGAAGAAGTGAATGAAAAAGACAACTGTTCTGCATCCAGCATATCCTCAGCAAGCAGCACTTTAGAGAGGGAAGAAAGAGAGGACAAGTTAACCAGTGACAATGAAACTGGTAAAGTGAAGCTTTTTCAATAAATGAAGGCTTTCCTACAAAGAACATGTTAGATCAGGTGTTTTGGTGTAAAGCTAATCATCGAACAAACCTTCCAGCTTGTCCTTCATTAGTATTTCTTCCTTTATGACCCAAATCCATAGCTGCTATCTGTGTGGAACTCCTACTATTGACTTTAGTAGAGTTTGTGTGTACCGTGCGGCAGAAGAAACAGTAAAATAAGATTTCCCTCTGATTGAGACACAATTCATTAACTAGTCTGATCCTGCCACAGGCCTGCATCCATAGTTCTCAGTAAATTCAGTTGGATGTTCCAATGGTCAAACAATGGTATGAGATACCCTCAGGTAGTTTGTCATGAGATTGCGAATGCCTGTCTCCATGCTATTCACTATTATGACTGGTAGCCCTCATGTTAATACTATAGGTAATTAGATGAGGTGATTCTCCAAGTGCTTCATTTCTTTCTTCCATCTTTCCTATCTTGTCAGGTGTGAAATTCAGGGAGATGCTGTTTTGTAGTTCCTAATTATAGAGCTAGAAATATGTGACTATGGAGAAGACATAAGGAGAACAATGTCCTAAAGAGAACACTTCCCCAGCAGCCAAGAAAAATGGCTGGATGAACCACCAGAAACATTTAAATAATGTCACCCCCCTGCACAAGTACTCTGTGCCTCTGCTTGCAGGGAGGAGAGAGGTTGTGCCACTTAGAATTCCCTCTAGGGATGGGTGGTCTAATTCAATACGGCCAGCAGTCCATGAAATCACAGAGATCATGTCTTAGTGGTTAAATTGCCAGCCTTGAAATGTTCACATTTTTCCCCATAGATTCCAAGGCCAAAAGAGACCACTATGGTTATCTAGTCTGTCTTTGTGTTAGGTCATAGAACTGACCCCAAACCGTTTTTTTGAACTAGTGCATAACTTTAAAAAAAATCCAGTATTGATTTAAATATTGCTGCGGGTGGCACACCCCAACCTTTTTAACAGGAACATGCTACTAAAAAGCTATACGTCCACTGTTGCTTCATTATTTACAAGTCATCTACTTTTCTTCAGTGCACAGAACTCCCCTTGATGTCAGTGGTTGAGGCTGGTATATAGTGGCTCTTTGAATGCCAATATGCCCTTGAAGAAGATGACTAGATAAATGTTCATGTAAAAAATGTAAACCCAAGAGTTAACAAACTAGTCCCATCAGATTTATCCCTTTGAGACAGCAGTTCCACATGAGAAGAGCACAGTTAGTTTCCAGAACAGTTTTATTATAAATTTGGATCCCTTACCTTCAGGTTAGAAGAGGTCATGTTATATTGCAAATATTGAAGAGTAGCTTCTAGTAATGGAGTGCTATTGCTTAGAGGGTTGTGAGGGGACAAGCATAGGAAATAAATCCTAAAAGTTCTCTCTCATTCTCTTT